GGAAAGCCAGAGACCTCTAGTGAGGCACAACGCTCCCCTTTAGCCTAGCAATTACCGCTCTACAGTATAATACCAAGTACTTGAGTAAAACCTACATGCCTAAGAAAGTTTTTTCCAAGTCATTTAAGTTCTGTATAATTGCATTACTGGCTCTATCCATATAGGAAACGCCTCTTGAGCAGGATCTTCGAAGGAGGAAATGGCCCGCGAAATTTGGCCTTTCGGACTTAATTTTTAGAGCGGCCCCTTACGTAAGATCGAAGCGAAAACTTAGTTTTACAGACAAAGCCAGTTATAGTGAAGGTGTTTCGTCTCCAGCCTTTTGAAATCTGATTGGCTATGCTTTGAGAATCAAGCCATTAAGATTCCTTTATCTAGTATGATGCCCCGTTTTTTCTATTACCGGTCGTATGGCTTTTATAAAACAGCTCGAATACCGCTAGCTACCCGCGGGCAAAGACGGTAGTAACGTATCGTTTTATGCCTCCGTTCGCATACTTAGCTAGTGAATTGTGGCTGGGTCGGGGCTTCGGTCCCGCAAAGTGACGGAACGCCACACAGCACGTTGCGCTTGAGTCCGAGAGTTTACAAACTCTTAATGACGGCTTGTCGAAGGGAGCAAAGTAACCAGCTAAAGATAAGGTTGAGGCTGAGTATATTTATAGATAGGCCTAACTTTATTTTCAAAACAAAAATAAAAGTCACACGTAGTGAAGCTACGTAGTTTTCCAACGGTTGATCTATAGAGAACCTGGTACCATGTACCAGTCATTACGAGCCTTCGCACGCGCTCTTCTTCTCGATCTTCACTTCAGCATTACGACGACGCTAGCGTGTATTCGCGAGCTAGTGATAACAGTGATCATGGTCACAAGACGCCTGGGCGATCTGAGAGCCCGCTGACGAGGCTAAGGGCTCGCCCAAAGATGGAGATGATGAGAAAGGGAGGCATTTCTTTAGAACCCATCGCTATCTGAGGGTCTTGAGCGTGATCACACTGCTAACGCAGCAGTTAAAGAGGCTACGCACTCAAGGAAGAGCATGGAGTCGAGGCGTTCACTCCGCGAGGAGAAGAAGTCTGGTGATCCCTATCACGTTCATTTTGGCGCCTAGAGGGTACTTTTGATGAGCCCCGGGAGATCATGAGCGACCTCAACCGGCAGCAGGAGGACTTCCACGCTGCCCAGCGTATGCGTGGGGGCTCGGTGCTGTGGGTAACGATGTTGTTTTGTTTTTAACTCTCACGTTTGGTTTCACGCTCTCTCGTAGCAAGGCTCTCTTTCGCGGGTGCTAACTAATCCGTGATTCTATTTTTTCGTGGGTTTTACACGTTTCGGCTCATAATTCTTACCGTGGCGTCTCACCAGCGGTACTCTCGTCGATGGATGCCCTTCCGTGGTTCCGGTTTCCACGTATTTGTCTTGTCCTTCCGCCCGTGCTTCGAGGTCTCATCGTGTGGCGCCGTCCCTATCGTGGTCTCATAGCGTATGTAACAGGCCAGGTATTTACTCCGTTAATTGCTTACACTGTAGTGTTGAGGAAGCTCGCAATAGGTCGACTGAGTCTTAGGTTTAAGAAAAAATCAACTCTGACTTCATTTTAGGACCAAGGTCACAAACCTGGCCACTCAAATACACGTCATAGTCCAATTGGCTAATAATTAGTCTGGATCCCCAAATATGCAACGAGAGTTCAAGCCCGGCTGCGCGCTTTGCAGCCGCCACCGAGCTTTCAGTGAGCTTCGACGACGAAGCGGACATCGGTCCTGACGCCCACGATTATGAAGGTTACGAAGACAAGACGCCGGCTCCAGAGCCAGGCGCAGCGACGCCGGAGACGGCCACGCTATCATCGGGGCTGAGCGGGGCGACCAGGTCCCTTTCGAGGAACCTCGCCGACGAGCTCGATGATGTTGCGGGACCAGAACCAGCCTACGATGATTATGACGATGGGGATTGAGGGGTCTAAAACCTTCGGTGGCAAGTGCAAAGCATTCAGCACTGCTGAAAGGCACCTCGCCCACCTATCAACGGTGATACACCAGCCGCCAAGCGCGTTTTTCGACCGCGTACAAGCGCTGATGCAGAAATGATGAGTGATTGCAGCTGTTCAAGCCCATCTCCCAAAAAAAAAGCCGACTGGTCCTGCGCTTGCGCAAGAAACTTCCAATACCCAGTCCACCTCCGGTTCCGACTAAGCCCAAAGTTGCCGAAGAATTTCAGTTTCGCTACTGGTTGGTGCCTGGGGGTTCGAAGAACCAAAACCTACCCATTCGACCAATGTCGCTCCAGGATTTGG